GTAGTGAAGTTGACTCCAATAGTCCTGTTTAACTTTTCTCCAAAAAGGAAGTTAAAGAGTGAGACAAATCACTAAAGTTTGCTAAGGTAAACCAAAAACAGAAATAAAGTATATGATGTGTAGTTTGACCTCTGTGATATCTCTTGATACTTGTCCTCTTTGTAACAAATATTAGCACAATGATTTTATTTTAACTTTCTTAAGCTTTTAACATTTTCTGGCATGGATATAAATAATAAATATTGTGTTACTAACTGAGGAGGACTCAGCAAAGCTAAATGAATTTTTAAAAATATGAACACTTACACTTTAAGAGACCAGGTCTATGAACAATCTATATCAGTCCAATTAGTTTAGCACATTCCTCTTTTGGCCCCTGGTTGCTCTGTTTCCCGAGTCTCATTCTTATTGTCGCTCAGCTGTATACCTTTATTTTGTCAGGGTCTAGACACAAACCTAATGAAATATCATAAATATTAAATCAAATGCATGTATGRTTTTAGATATTTTAACCTTTAAAACACAGTTTAGATTTTTAGAGTATCATAATTTTGCTACTGAAATGAACATTTAACCATGTATATTTTTCCATGATAGTTAATATCATGAGGCAAATATTGTATCATTAAAAATGAACTGCATTCTAACCATTTTTTAAACCATGTTTGTGAAATCACCCTTTAAAGTAGCTTGAGAACTTCTAAAGTAATAGAATTTGAAAACAGAAAGCTTTCAATAGTTCATTCTCACAGCTGAGAATTTTTACTCTGCTTTGTGCTCTTATAGTCAGAAAATTGTGTTCTTTGAATTATACCTTCTGCAGTTTTTATAATTAAGTATGCAAGTAAGTTAATTTGCAGGTGCAAATGGATCTGGCAAAGATCAAGTCTAGACTTGATCTTTCGTCATATTCTTGGCAGCTTAATAGGTTTTTCAAATATATATTTTTAGTTGGAGGTGGACAAAATATCTTAATTTTTTTAATTTACTTTTTTGGGTAGGGCTGAGGATCAAACTCAGTGTATCACACATGCTAGGAAAGTGCTCTACCACTGAGCTACAACCCCAGCCCATTAACAGGGTTTTAAATGTTAGGCATCTTTAGATTGTTGTCATAGGAAAATTGAAGTTCCTCATGTATTCCTCTCTATTACTTTTTTAATTTTTCAAAATCTGTGCATTGTAATTACACATAACATTGGGATTCATTATACCAGAGCAATACATATATACAACACAGTTTAATAAATGTAATGATAGCATCAATATTTTATGGATGGTAATATACTATGATTTTTTAAGATATGGACCAGTCATTGTATCTTTGTGGTTTTATTATTTATCTCTCTTGAAATGATGTCATCYCTAAAGACAACAAAGTTACTTTCTCTATATCATATAATTATCCAAAGAATAAAATAATTCAATATAATCAGTATTGCTGAATAAGTCAAACATACATAGATCTCTCATCTCTAAAAGCAAGACTTATTTG